AAAATTGATGTTTAAATTATAACTGTTGTTTTATATATATATATATATGTAAACACACACATGAAATGTTAGTTTCTGCTAGGAAACTGGAAAACTCTACATATAGATATGAAATTTAACTATATCATCATTTCAGACACATACAACAACAAAATATTTCTCAAATAAGCCATTAGAGATGACAATAAGAATGACACAAATTCATGAATTGACTAGTCATTGTCATCTGTTTCCTGATGAAAATGTATGACAGATAACAAAAATATGTATGAAATATAGACTTTTTAGACACTATCTAGACAAAAAATATTTTTGTAAGGTATAATTTCTTAATTTAATTAGGGATAAATTTTTCCCATCTCTCCTCATTTTTAGCATTAAGAAGGTACAATATCTCAGGTTGAGGTTGGTAAACTACAAAAAAAAAATAAAAAGAAGGTACAATATCTGAAGTATTTCCTGAAATTCATAAAATCAGATACAATTAAATTAAAAATTGCCATATAATATTAAAAGATAAGAAATTTGGGCAAGAATGTAGAGAAATTTGAGCCGTCATGCACTGCTGGTGGAATGTAAAATGGTGCAGCCACTTTGAACACAGCCTGGCAGTTCCTTAAAAGTTTAAACATAGAAACAAGGCCGGGTGCAGTGTTCCACCCGTGTAATCCCAGCACTTTGGGAGGCCGAGGTGGGCAGATCACTTGAGGTCAGGAGTTTGAGAACAGCCTGGCCAACATGGTGAAATCCCATCTTTACCAAAAATACAAAAATTAGCTGAGCATGGTGGTGCACGCCTGTAATCCCAGCTACTCAGGAGGCTGAGGCAGGAGGATCCCTTGAACCTGGAGGCAGAGGTTGCAGTGAGCTGAAATCGCACCATTGCACTCCAGCCTAGGCAACAAGAGCAAAACTCTGTGTCAATAAATAAATAAACAAACAAACATAGAAACATCAAGTGACCCAGTAATTTCACTCCTAGGTATATATCCAAGAGAAATCAAGACATATGTACACATAGAAATTTGCATACAAATGTTTATAGCAGATGATTCATAATAGCCAGAAAGTGAAAATAGCCTGAACGTCCATCACCTGATGAGTGGACAAACAAAATGTGATATATCCATATAGAATATTATCCAGCCATAAAAAGAGGTAGTAATACATGCTACAACATGGGTGAACCTTAAAAACATTATGCTAAGTGAAATCAGCCACACGCAAAAGGCAACATATTATATGATTTCATTTATATAAAATGTCCAGAATAGACAAATCTATAGAGACACACAACAGATCAGTGGCTGCTTAGGGTTGGGGTGAGGACAGTGGATGGGGGGTGGTTCCTGTTAAAGGGATTTCTTTCGGGGTGATGAAAATGTTTTAAACTTGATTTTGGTGATGGTTGCACAACTCTCTGAATGTACTAAAACACACGGACTTGTATACTTTAAGTTGATGAAATTTAAGGCACGTGAATTACATATCAGTAAAGCAGCTGCCAAAAAAAAAAAAAAAAAAAAAAGAGGAAAAGGAAACTAGCTTTTATATAACTCAAATATTTTGTAGACAAGTTTCAGAATTTATAACCAAAGCTTAGTTTGTCAATGAGGCATAGACATTTTCATAAAATCATATTGGTTTGACAGAAAAAAAATATTTTACCAGTATTTGGGAAGTGCTTACTTGGTGCTCTGTCTCAGTTTTAGACAAGTCTTCAATCTTCTTTTCCAGTCTGTCTATATCCATGATGTTCTTGATATTCTAACGTAAAAGATAGTATTCTTGGATTTAGCACCAAGAAAAATAAAACATGAGGACAATCAAAGTCTCTTTTAGGAGGTGGTATTTCATCACTCTCAGTATTGCCTTTTTATCTTCCATTCAACCTCAGCTGCTACTCCCATAGTCATAAATTCAAACTTGTTATTACCAGTCACTGCAGCCCCTCCATTACCTTAATTGCAAGCATCCCGCTCTTCAACAACCACCTCTTGCCTTTCCAGATTACTTCCTCTATACCCACAAACCTTCAATCCCCCCTGGAACTTGCAATCCATTGATCCGACCACCTTTTCATTATCCTTCAACCTTCCCATGAACTCAGACCCCTCTTTATTTAGCTTCAGTTCTTCCCTGGGCAATCATTATAATCATTCTCTTCCAAATGCCATTAGGCCATTCCCTGCCTAACTCCTGCTTCTTAGCATTTACCTAAATTAGCTTACCACCCACTCCAGCACCCTTTCAGAAGAACATGCTTAAAGAAAGCATGAACAGACAGGTCACATGTTTAATTCATGGTCTTTAACCTCAGTGTTTACTGGTGATCATATCATATCATCCTGGTATACCTATACTGCCTTTGACCTAAATCAGGGGGTGGCAAACTATGCCCAGCCCCCTCACTTCACCCCTAAAGGCCAAATCTCCACCCCTGAAGGCCTAAAGGCCAAATCTACACCTGTTTTTGTAAATAAGGTTTTATCGGAGCACAGCTGTGCCCGTTTGGGTACATACTGTCTATGACTGCTTTCACAATACAAAGGCAGAGGTAAGTAGTTGACGCAAAGGTGATTTTTGTGGCTACCAAAGCCTAAAAATATTTATAATCAGGCCCTTTACAAAAAATTTTCCAACCCCCAGCTCATTTCATTCCTTCTCTTTCCTCAAATTTCCAATACCCCCTCCAACATCCTCACTCTCAGCTGATGATTTTGCTTTGTATTTCACTGAGACGCTAGAAACAACCAGAAGAAAATTTCCTTCTTAACTGAAAACGTAATAAATATCTTTGGATATATTACAAAGCATTTCCTTATCCAAACACTTCTGTCCACCTCCACTGCAACTGCTCAGTCCAAGCCCCCATCAGCTTTTGACTGGATCATTTCAAAGGCCTCCTAATTGGTCTTCCTGCTTTTCCTCTTGCCCCACTACAGTGGGATTCTAAACCCTGCAGCCAGAGTTGTCTTGTTAAAATGGAATTAGATCACACTACTCCTTTTCTCGAAACACTTCAATGGCTCCCATCTCACTCAAGTGTGTGTGTTTTTTGTTTGTTTGTTTTTTTAAAGCCAGAATCCTTAGGATGCCTGTGTAAGCCCCTTGTGTCTGGACCCTCCAGCTCTTGGCCTGCGTCTCTTGCTACTTGTTCACTTTGCTCCAGACACTCTGGCCTCGCTGTCCCTCCACAATAGCAGGCAGGCTGCAGCCTCACGATTTTGAGCTTACTATTTCTTCTGCCTGGAAGGTTCTTTTACAGATAAACCTCCTTTCCCAGTTTTGAATCAAAGGATTAGCTTCATAAGGCTGCTTTTCCTAACCACCCTAGTTTAAATTGCACTCCTCTCTGCCTTAATTCTGTTTTCTGCTTTTCCTTTCTCCACAGCTCTTATTACCATCTAACACACTAGTTCCACATGAGCTATTTTGCTAAGCTCATATACTCAGCACTTACAATAGCTCTAAGGTCTTCCAATGAATATGTGTTGAATGAACGAAATGAATGAATGAATAAAAGTGAATCACTACCCAAACCATTGTGATGTTACTCTTCACAATGCATCAGATTTTTACCTCCCAAAGGAATCTTAGCTAGTGACAACATTTATATTCATTTTCTAATGTAAGTCAATAATTGTAATGCTATTTCATGATAAAGGGCTTTCAGTCTTCCTTCTATCTCAATTCTGAACTGGTTTGGTACAATTCTTTGATACTTGTCACTCATTTAAACAAGAGGAGAATCATTTAAATAGGAGGAGAAAAATATCTTACATCAGAAATTTAACTGTAAAGCACTAGTTTCACAAAAGCCTGGCCTTGTGGCTATAACAGCTCTGAATCTAATGTAGGCTTTCTTTCCAATCTTTAGTTGTTCCTTTCCAATCCATTATAAAATTTTAAAATGCCCACCTGGCCCACATTTTGAATAACACTCCAGATTGTGCAGCACAGCTTCATAAATACTTCTGATAGCCTTATATAAAAGCAAAATTTTTAAACTGGCATACTACTTGATATTCAAGTAGTATCTATTAGAAAAGGAATTTTCCCTGCAAAATAGTAACTTACTAGTAGCTTGTTCCCTGTTCTTCCAATGCTTCAATTTTGTTGCTTTAAAAAAATTATACTCTTTTTCTTTGAGATTGTACTAATATTTCCTAATACTTATAAGGTACATTGTGGTTTACCAGATGGCTTCACGTGAATTATCTTAGTTAATCTCGAAAATAATTCCATGGCATAGGTACTGTTAGCCCAGAAAAGGTAAATGGTCTTTCCAAGGTCCTTTTTTCAGTGAATTTAAGATTTGAATCTTAGACTTAAGACTTTTGCCACTTTGTTCAATGGAATTAAATGGAAAATCATTGGCTGGGCGCGGTGGCTCAAGCCTGTAATCCCAGCACTTTGGGAGGCCAAGACGGGCGGATCACGAGGTCAGGAGA